CAATTTTTTAATTATATAGTAAGTGTTTGAGATTTTCTATAAAACACTATATAAAATCAATTAATAGTAGTTATACTGTAATTGGCAAGCTTTTGTATCAATTATTTATTTCGAAATATATACATTATATATAATATATATATATAGATTATAATTGAAAATTTAATGTAAAAATCTTGAAAGTAGAAAATTAATAGATAATGTTTTAGAGAACTATAAGGTATACAGTGCGTATTTATTTCAGCATTTAACAGTATATATGTACTAGAGTTTGAGAATAATAAATTACATGTTATGATTATGAAAATCAACAAGTCCGAATTCGTAAAATAAATAAGACCGAAATTCTTTGACAAGGTAATATCTAGATAACCTAACACTTGGAAACAGTAAAATGCCAATGTAAGACTATCCAATTTAATTCATTTAAAAAACAATTTGCACAGAACTACATGTAAAATAACAACCAATTTATGCAAAATTTAAAATATATAAAACAAGCATCATGATTTTCATTGTTGAATAAATAGACCAATCAAATCTGTTAATGAAACAACATCTTTCACATGTTTTTTATCATCGATAATCCAAACACGGTGGATCCTATTAACAGTTATGAGTTTCAGTATCTCTTCCAACGAAGATTCCGGCGTGGCTTTGATTGGGTTTAAGAGATTCTCACAATTAGCAAGAGTCTTTTCGATAATAAATGAAAGAAATGAGTTTAAAGTAACAGATTCAATTTTTAATGCAGGATAATAAAGAATTTGTAAAACTTACGGCTAAAAATTTAAGAACTGGGAAAACCAGGCTATCTATAGATTCATAACTTAACCCACGAAGATCTGATGCAGAAAGATTTCCGACCAATTCTTGTTCCCTGTAAAAAAAAAAACTTGTAAAAAAAAAAAATCAAAAGGAAAAATATTTAGAATTAATAAGATAAAACTTACCTATTAACGATAGCAATTCCTGTTAGTTTATGTTCGGCCATCCTTCGATACACATTCAAGGCTGTCTCATGATCATAACCAGTAACTACTTTCCGCTCCTTAATCAGTCCCAGGGAGCGCAATGACGATTTAAAATCGATGGTGGGCAGACATTCTGGGTGTGCTTGAATATATTTTATAATATCTGATTGAGTTAAGATATATGGTGGTATTTTGTTGTTATAATCAATAACTAGGGATCGATGAATTCCTTTGGAGTATGCTTTAAGCGTCTATTGTGGAAATAAAAAACGTAATGATTACAAAATTTTTTCAAATAACGATAATAGCAGA